GTATTTTAAAGAGTATCTCTGAAGTTACCGGTTTCATAAGCTCAGTACACTGGTGTAAAAATACACAGTTTTACCCACATGAGAAGAAACAAAGAAAAGCCATTAACAGAACAGGACCATGCAGTGTTGTCTACATGTGGTTATTGTGTCTTGGCTAGTCTGCCACCTGAAAAAATGACTTCAGTACGGAGGATAGGGCGAATGATATTTTTATATTTATTGCCCACGTTTCCCTGGAATATTAATCCAGTCTGAATGGCGCTGTAGAGTGTTTAATGGTGCAATCACTGATTCAGTGTCGCCAGTCTAATCTCCCTAGGCAACACTCCCTGGCAACAGATGCAAACACAGGCTGAGGATTCTGCGTCAGCAGTATTTCATTCTGATGTCAAAGTAGGATTTTACTTAATTTAGAGTTTTACTGTGTGCCCCAAAATCCTGCATACATCCTGTCCAGATTATAACAGAGCAGCGGAAGAGGAACACAACAGTAGTTATGTTCTAATTATACTTTAATGATACACCCCCTGATTTTTTATAATCGCATCAAGTATATATATATAGCATTCCAAGAGCAATGTAAAAAAATCAGGCAGTTTATCCTTAAATGAAAGTGCAGAAATATTTTCAGCAAGTGGCGAAGAGTTAATAAACACTCTTAATACTGATCTGTGAACAGTTTCATTAGGGACTATGTGATTGACTGTCACCAGATTCAAATGTGACAATATTGTACACATATCATTACACATATCACTATTATTATCATCTTGTTATTCTAAAGTTGTGTTACATTAAGTCAGTGAATATGACCTGTATTATTTTTACATTATTTTCAAAGCAAAAATGACATGTACTGGATTAAAGGACTCACATTTAACACCATATCAATGTTTTATTATTGAAAATAACAATTTTAGCAACATTCAAAAATTATTTGGTTCCTTGATTACAGGATATATATAATATATTAACCCCGTTACAAACAGAGGAGATTCTGTCCTTTGGCTCTGACTTGTGCAAATGTTGCTGGACTGGAAATTGGCAGCACGTTACATTTTAGCTGTTGCAGTTATTTTGTTTTCCTTTACTGGTTTTCCTCCAAATGCATATATGCTTGGATATTAATATAATAATTGATTATATTATATAATAATTTCACTAATTGGCAACAGCAACAAGAAAAGAAAAGTGATTTTGAAAACAAAATATGTTACAAATTTTTCACATAAAACAATTTACAACAATGATACTTTAAAGATGACTGATGCCGAATCAGCATCATGTGCAAAAATCACAAACAGCGGCACCGTCTTGTTACTGTGACTGTCCGCGTTGAATATACTGTATAAATAACACATATGGGTGTATATGTAAACACTGCTGTGTCTCAGTTTGGTCTTAAGTGCCACATTTCATGACTTCATTCATGACCAGTCTTGTGTGCGGCACAATCACAGTTCAGGTCGGTAAACTGTTTGGTGGAAAATGTAATCTCTCATTTCATAATTTCATTATTTCTCTGGTCCATGTTCCAGGCAAAGTGAGGTTCACTCATGATCTTGTTGACATGGATTTAGTGAAGGCAGAAGAGCATTCAGCTGCAGAACTGAAAACTGCTAGCGATGGCGTTTGTCCACTCTACCAAGCGGTCTGTCCTTCAAACCACTCTAGGATAACATCTTTGTGCTCGCTGACCCACTCGATGTTAACTTTGGTTTGCTCCATGGCCTGGTACACCGCCCTGTTGGCACAACCCAGCTCGTAGTCCGTTGCAAAATGTTCCAGCTGTGTACACACACAGATCATACAGTGATGTTAGAATATTGCTACGGAAGCGCACTGCATTCAACCAAGACCAAAAAAATAAAAATAAAAATACTGGATACCTCCCCTTAGTCCAAAGTCCTAGTTTTTTTTTGATGAATCAATTCATTTCCCTTTATTTCCTGAAACAGCTAACATCAATGCTGTTAATTTCCAACAAGTCAACACATAATCCTGATCCTGGACGAATCAGCATCCAATCAAGTTGCAGGAGAGAACCAGGAAGAACTAACGTTACATTACTGAGTGCCAGCTGAAACAAATAATACCAAAGATAATTTAGTTTTGTTCGTTCTGTTGTTAAAATGGCAGTACGTTTAGTGAAGAGCGCATTAGGACTTGGCCCCCGGTAGAGCTGACATCCTATGTACCAAGTCCTTGCTGTGGCCCTTTGCTGTGTGTCATCCCCTCTCTCTCGACCTCCTTTCCTATCAATCTTCAGCTGTCCTGCTAATAAAGGGAAAAAGTTCCCCCCCAAAACCAAAAAAATCTCAAAAGTTTATTTGGTTCCCCAGTATCCTGCATTAGACAGACTGATATATCTTCTTCCGCTGTACCATAGAGCTCCACTGGTGTCCAAAAACCTTTAAAAAACCTCAGTCAGCCACACTGCTGCACTGGGTGACGTTTCCTTTACTACCGTGAAAAATTCATTTAAAGTCAATCCCACATACACCGCCCTGCTGCCTGAAATGCTTGCTTAAACAAATTTGTATTAATCCACAGCTGAATATAGTCTGCCAAAAATAGCTCAAATAAAATAAAAACTATGGGATGGAGTCAAAATAAACTTCAGTGCGTGCATGGTAACGAAAGAAAATGTCACCCAGTGCAACAGTGTGGCTCACTGATGTGTTTTCAATAGTTTTTGGACAACAATGGAGCTCTGTGGCACAGAGGAAGACCATATATCAGGTTTTGATACACACACAGTACTTGTTATCAGGATCCATTGACGGTTTCCATCTTTTCATGGGAAAATACAGAATATAACCAGCCCTATAAATAAGAAATCACAGCGAGGGAAAATTGGGTTTTGGCTCAGGTAAAACTAACACGCACAGAAGATAAGATATCAGGGTGTATCCAGTTACTCGTGTGATATAAATCAATTATTGCCTGACTGGAAAGACATGACTCCCCACTCCACATATTGCATACTGGGATCATCACCATGACCTAATAAAAACATGAATATATTACCTCCTTCAATTCAAATTGTGTGGAGAACCTGCTGGTCACGCCCTCGATCAGCATCGCTCCAGCCCTGGCAGCAGAGACAGGAACAATATCAGAAACAGTTTTACACACAGCACCACGGACTACAGCCTGTAAACTGGGCACAAAGTCCAATGGACAAGAGCTTCAACTAAAACTGAACGCTGTAACTTTGATAAATGTAGAATTGATTGCAGGGTGGTGTTTTAAACTGCATTAGTTTGAGCTAGGTGGACCTAATGAACTGGATATCGTACGCAAATCCAGTTAAATCCCAGCTGACTGCTTCATTGAGATCAATCTCAGGTGTCGCTGTGTGCTCATGAAATGAAATCCTGTCTGTTATGTATATTTAAACTTTGATACCGATCAATTTTGCTTCCTGGTAACAACACAGTCAGCGGGGACTTTATGGAGGAGAGCTAATGATAAGCACTGATTAAATAAGAAGACCTTTGTACGCGATGACGGTCTGCAAGATTTTTATAAGCCACTGTTTATTATAGTCTGTTCTTTTATGACAGGGCTTGTTTATTCAAGTGACTCAACTGCAGGTCACTTCACTATCAAGAGGCCTCTGTAAACAGCAGCCCCCCAGGCGAGACGAGGCCCTCAGATCCCTGTGGCGTTGAGCAGCACTACGTCCATTAAGACATCACTAACAACAGCAGTCCTGTCTTCTCAGTTGGCAGCTCATGGCCTCAAAGTAGATCATGAGACGGAGCTGTGAACCAAGGAAAACAGGAGCAAGCACGGTGTGGGGCTGAGGTTCACAGCACAATAGAGCTCCACAGCGAGGGTCCGGAAGTAAAAATCCCATTCATATTCTCAATAGAGGATTTTGATTATTAGCCATGATATCGTAATCACCCAAGGTAGACTTACATGAGCTATGAGATTGTGAATGAATGCTCCTGTAGAAGCCACGCGATATCAGCTTTGTTTTAAGATAAACCTGTTTTATTCACAATCTCACAGAGAAGTACTACAGTACCCAC